GGGTTGCCGGCCCTGAGCGCCGCCGGCGGCGGGCGCGCACCATGAACTCGTGGGACGCGGGCCTGGCGGGGCTGCTGGTGGGCACGATGGGCGTCTCGCTGCTGTCCAACGCGCTGGTGCTGCTCTGCCTCCTGCACAGCGCCGACATCCGCCGCCAGGCGCCGGCGCTCTTCACCCTGAACCTCACGTGCGGCAACCTGCTGTGCACCGTGGTCAACATGCCGCTCACGCTGGCCGGCGTCGTGGCCCAGCGGCAGCCGGCCAGCGACCGCCTCGTGCCGCCTCGGCCGCCCTTCCTCCGACACCTTCCCTGGCCACCAACTCCATGCTCAGCATGGCCGCGCTCAGCATCGACCGCTGGGTGGCCGTGGTCTTCCCGCTGAGCTACCGCGCCAAGATGCGCCTCCGCGACGCCGCGCTCATGGTGGCCTACACGTGGCTGCACGCGCTCACCTTCCCCGCCGCCGCGCTCGCCCTGTCCTGGCTGGGCTTCCACCAGCTCTATGCGTCGTGCACGCTGTGCAGCCGGCGGCCGGACGAGCGCCTGCGTTTCGCGGTCTTCACCGGCGCCTTCCACGCGCTCAGCTTCCTGCTCTCCTTCGTCGTGCTCTGCTGCACATACTTCAAGGTGCTCAAAGTGGCCCGCTTCCACTGCAAGCGCATCGACGTGATCACCATGCAGACGCTCGTGCTCCTCGTGGACATCCACCCCAGGTGAGGGCACCGCCAGGTGCGGGATCAGGGAAGGGCTGCGGGGGACTCGGTGGGGGAGGGGGTCTCTTTGGGGAGAAGGGGATCCTTGTCTCTCCACGCTCCAATGTGCAGTCTTGGGCAAGCCCCTTTTCCACCTAGCCTCCATTTCCTCTTTGGAAAACTGAGGTGTGTGTGGTGGGGGGGGGGAAGGGCCAGTGTTGCCCGTCTCATGACAGGTAAAGCTAGACCGCCAAACATGTGGGCGAAACAATATGTACTACTTTTGAAGCGTCAGGGTAGAAACCACAGAGAATCAGAACTTTGTTGAACTTATTTTATGTTTTTAGTTTTCACTTTAAACAGCCTATGGGAAGGCAGTGATGTCTGTTCACTGCTTAAGGCCTTTACGTGATTCTAATCAGGCGCTGAGAGCATGGCCTGGGTGCTTAGAGAGCTCCCTAAGAGATCTTCAGACGCGGATGTGCTTCTCTCCTCCCTCTTTTCCTTTCTCTGGTGTCTGGTGCTGCTTCTGTGTCCTGCTCCTGTAAGTGTGAGTCCTGTGGCTGCACCTTCCTCTGTGGGTCCTTAATGGAGCATCTGAGGGGCTCCGAGGAGACTGGGGTGCCCTTCCCAGACAGCACTGTCCCTTGTCTCCTGCACTTGGAGCCTGGAGCCCTTGCAGAGGGAAAGGGTCATCCTGAGGCTTCCCGACAAAACCTGCCCACCCACCTCCATCCTCACCTGGCCGCTGTTTCCCAGGAAGGCAGCTCAGGACAGGCAGTCGGGTACAGGTACTCCCTGGGAAGTCCAGCCATCCCCCAGAGCTGCTCAGGGGGAGAAGGGGGAAACTCTTAGCTGAGATGTCCTGGGCTCACCTCGGCTTTCCTTCAGAGAAGAGGAGAGGAAGGGGGAAACTGCTGCTGGTGTCCCTACGGACTCTGCGATTTTATAGCCTGATGCCCTGGACCCTGGAAAGGGGGCTTAAGTGTCAAGATGGCATGAACAGTGAGGCAGACTGAGAAAGCAGTGTGGGGGGCCTGGGGGCAGGGCAGGGAGCTCGGTCCCTAGGGTGTGAATGCCTCCCTGCCCAGGGAGAAACAAGCCCGTGGCTGAGGGGGATAGACCGGGGGCATCAGTCTGTGCAAGGGCTCCTTCAAGTCTGTGTTTTCCCTGCCTATAAGCAACAAAAAGAGGCCTTGAACTTCACTGCGCATAGATGGACATGTATGCCTGTGTTCATCGTTCCCCACAGAACGGTCCTTCTAGATTATGTGCTGGACCAAAGCTTCTAGTCACAGAATCTTCCTCCCAGAATCACATTCAGGATGTACATGGGGATGACTGAGGGCACATAGACACCAGGGCATGTGAACCGTGTGTGGACATGTGTGAGCTTCACACACACAATTTTGTGTGTTCATGTAGCAACAGCATGTGTGACAGACAGATCACAGGTGTGGCAATCATGCAACACTGACCCAAAGACATGAGCCGACTCACTGCATGTGGCCACGCACGGTGCAGTGTTGTTTAAGGAACTATTCTGCAGCCACAATTGCAGAACTCTTCTCCTTCCCATCACCCTGGGGCGAGAGGACTTCACTTTAGAAGGTGCACTATTCCTAGGGCTTGGGCTGCGAGTGCTCTGGAAGCTGTAGGCAATGTTGTTGAACTCTCAGAACTTGAATGATTCCTTCAGAGGGGCCCACTCGCCATGAGTCTAACAGCGGAGGAGGGACTGAGCTGGGAAAGGAATCAGTTCTTATTGAGACCCGTACGAACCCCATCCCTGCTCTTCCTCCAACTTCCAGAACTAGAGGGCAGCGGCTCCTCTTCAGCCCATTTAGGATGTAGGGCTGGTGCCAGTCTTGCAAATCGCATCCAGACTCCAGGCCAGACATGGCAGAGTAAATCCCCCGGGGTCTCAGGAGAAGAGGCAGCTGCTCTGGTGGCCTCCAGTCCCTTCTTCTCTCTGCCAATCCCCTCCAGGGGAACTTTGACCTCTTCCAAGCCCCAGGATGCTCTGAAGAGACACTTTCCCAGTGCCACGGGGCCCTGCAGGGCCAAGGAGCAATGCCAGTCTGCACTGGGGATAGGAGGGTCTTCTGGGAGGAGGCTTGTCCTCGGTCAGTTCAGACAGGCCCCACTGGCCGAGGGCTGGCCTGGGGTTGTGGAATAGTGGGCAGATGCCCCTTTGGGGAACCAACCTACCTCTCCCTGTGGGGACAGTACCCAAAGTGAGAGGGTGGCTGGTGCGCCACACAGGAGGGCACCAGCTCCCTGACAGCAGATCCTCCGGCTTCCTTCTTGGAGGCTCCAAACTCTCCCTCGCCACAAAGGAGAAACTGCCCAGCTATCTCGGAAAGGGGGACCGCCCCCTAGACCCCCCAAGCCTTAGGCCCTGAGGCGCCAGTGCTGAGAGCTGGGGGGGGCCTGGGGGTCCAGTCCCAGAACAGCAGAAGCCAAGCTCCCTTACCTGGACAGTCAGGGCAGCAGGCGAAGGAGAATGCTCACTGGAAGATTCACTTAACAGCCACCACACTCCTGGCCTCCTGGGACTTAATTAAAAGGAACTCGTTCTGAGCTCCCTGAGGTCTATCTGTCAGGGAGCTCCCTGGCGATGCCTGCTCTTCCTGCAGAGCGTTTAACACAGGGAGTGACAGGTTGGACTCCTTTGCTTCAATACCACCAAAAGGACAGTGACTTCCTGTTTTAAATTAAATCTTTGACCCTGAGAATTGTCACCAACTCCTGCCTTTCTAGGGTGGTTTCTCTAGTTTCTACAATCATAAAGAAATTGGGAATTCCTAAGATTTATTACCCACCTGGTTTCCAACTGTTCAGTTTGCGTGACTCAGTTCTCCCACATCACAGCTCTGGACCACTTATAGCCAGATCCTCTCCTTGGTGCTGCCAGAGACATGGAGACACAGGTAGGGAGCCGGGGTGTTGAGGCCGCAGCCCTGCTCTCCCCATTCAGCTGGAGGGCACTCTTGCCAGCACGAGTTAGTGACTTCAGAGTAGACAGCTGGTGAAGCACATGCAAGCTTGTGATCAGGGGCTACAGAGGGCTGGCTGAGCATGTCAGAACTGTGCCACAGTAAAAGGAAGGGCCCTCACTGTGCTCTTGATTTTGCAGATGAGGAAATTGGGAGCCCCAGGGAAGGGGGTGCTTGCCATATTTAACAGATCTAGAATGTGGCTCCATCCAAGATTCAAGCTCAGGTGCACCCCTAAGTTGTGTGGATGGGGCAACAAGGGTGCAAATGGAGTTTCACAAACCATCTACATGAATATTTAGACTTTCTAAATTCAGCTTACAAACTGTTAAAGGAAATATGTTCTATCTTCCTACCCTGAGAAATATACATTTATAACACTTTGCGAGGCTGGGTTCAAGTTTAGCGTTCTTAGGCTCCCTGGAGTTCAGCCTCGTACCTGATGGGAAGAATTGAGCTGATTCCATGCACACAGCCCGCCGGCCTCACCTCCCCAGCCTGGCTCCCCCAGCCCTGAAAGGGGCCTCCTCCCTCACAGAGTGGACACTGTAGGTTGTGTATCTACGTGTTGTTCACAAATGTCACCCCTCTGGCCTCCAGGCAGGCACCCAGGTGGCACAGGCCACCCTCAGGAGGATAAGCTCTGAGGAAGATGCCTGTGCACGTTCTGGAAGCAAGATCAGGGCATTTGGGCAGGTACCTAGAACTTGGTCGAGAATGGAGGATGTGGGCTCTGGGTGGGTGCATCCCCTTCGCCCCATGAGCACTTCATTTCATGGGGAGATGTGGGCCCCTTAATGTCCTGGACCCAGGACAGGACCCCCTCTTGTCAGGTCTGAAGGCAGGACTGCTTACAATGTTGAATTGACCCAAAACACAAACCTCTTCTCCACCATCGGTCAGCTCCTTCCCTCGCCTTTTGTTCCATTTTCTTAAAAGCCAGAAAGCAAATCTGGATGTCTCTCTGAGTACTCAGAGTGTGAGCTCTGGCCTGGCTGAAGTCCTCTGGGCATCAGTCAGGACCCAGATCCACTGTGTTTTAGCCACGATCGCCTCATTTCTTGACTTTTCGGATGTTCCCAGTACTAACCACCCCTCTGCCCTATCACTGAAGCCTCCTGGGGATGTCTCTTTGGCCCCACACATCATAGTGCTGGAGAGCCCTTCTCCTCTTGGCTGAAGGAAACTCCCTGTCTTGGCACAGCCCCTGGGACCCTCGCTGGCAGTGGCACAAGGTCACACTCTGGGCAAGCGGACCTGGCCAGGAGAGCCTTCGGCTCTCGCCCTCTGAGCTGCGGGTTCTGCTTGGGAGTCCGAGGACTCCAGCCGCCACCACCAGGCCCAGGAGTATCTGGACGTGAATGTGGCTAGACACAGCTGGCTCGTTGCTCACTGGTCCTGTGGGAGGCAGTGGAGTCTGGGGGACACCCCAGGTCTTGGAGTCAGGAGAGCTGGAATGAGATCTGGTCTGTTTTGAGCTTACTGTGGACCCTGGGCGTGGGGTCTACTTTCCTGGCCCTCAGTCTGCTCTCCTGCGAATGAGGAAAGTGACAGCTTGTAGGGCTGCAAGATTTCAAGGAGCTCAGTTTCGCAAAGCTATGATGAGAAAAAAAATGACAGCAAGAGCGAAGTGATCTTCTTATTATGTTGTTTGGGGAGCTGGGGGGCAGACCTCATTGTAGGCTTAAACAGTAATAATGGCAAGCCCGAGGGCCACCCTGCTCCCCTCGGAGCCTGGGAGACTGCCCTGCCTTCTCTTCCTGCCGCCTCCTTGTTCCCACCTGGAAACCTGGGGGACCCTGGGCGGAGAAGTGGGACCCATTCTCTTCCTTTGCAGGAGTTCAGGGAAGCACCACATGGTTCCAGACTGGGTGTCAGTAACTGATGCTGGCCCTGCCTGCACCCTGCTCGGGCAAGTCCCTGTCTTCTCTGAGCCTCAGTTTCCCATCTGTGAGCTGGGATCCCTCGTGTTACACATGACTGTAGAGGCTAGCCAGTCTGTCCCAGAGCAGACTCATGACCAGGCCCACACGGCTGTTAACCCCAGACACAGCATCCAGCGCACACCCCGCTGTGCTCCCGCAGCATGCCAGGTGCCAGAAAGATTAGGGAGCAGCGTCCACCACATCCCTGAGCCCCAGAGAGGGTCCCAGAGCCAGCCCGGGAGCCCAGGCTCCAGCTGGCACCGTCCCTGGCTGCAGTGCTCTCTCTCTCCCTCTCTCTCATGAAAGCACATTTTTGCAGCAAGAGGGATCCCTGTGGTCTGGGGGTTCAGGGTAGTACCGAAACATAGTAATTGTTTCATAAAAACATGTTAAGTGAATAATACTTGTGATTTGCACTGACTGAGTACTTACTCTGAGTCGAGCCCTGTCCTGGGTACTTTTTGGGTGTTAACTCAGTTGCTCTCAATAGGCCCCTACCAGATAGGTACCTGTATTACCCTCAGTTTAGAGATGATGATGCTGATGCACAGAGAGGCTGTGTGACTCGCCTTAGGCCACACAGCAATAAAGTGGGGAAGCCTGGATTTGAACCCAGATGTCTGGCTCCGCCGCCGAGTGTTTACCACCACACTTAGCTAGAAAGGACACCGGGCCACGGAAGTGTTCATGGCCTGACATCCATTGATGAGCTTTGCTTTGTCTGAAAGGCTAAAGGTTTTAAAGTCTCACTTTGAAAAATATATTCTCGAGCAGATTTCTATCTTTCTCCTATTAAGATTTCTGCTATGTCTCTTTGGAGAAGGTCACTTAAAAATGACTGAGACTTAATTTTCCTAAGAGGCTTTTAAGAATTGTTCATTAATTCAAATGACGTGCACTCATGAGGTGTCTTCTGGGTGTAAGATGTTGAGCTTTGTACTCTGGACACCCAAAGAAATCATGTACCTGCAAAGTGCTTGCTAGCTCATTCTTCTCTCCTGTACAAAGCTTTGCAGGAACAAATGAAATTAATTCCCCATAGGTTTTTACAGGAGAGGAGTGACATTGATCATTCAAGCCTGTACAGTGTCCATTGTGTTCCTGTGGAGTCACTGAAATGTTTCTGTTTATCCTTCTGAAGACCTCCAAAGCTTCAAGCAGCATCTGCCTTTAAATAGTCTTCAGGGCTTTGGCAAAAGATTGTGTGATGCGGCAGGGTGAGGGGGCTTCTGCTCCTGGGGAAAGAGCTGGGTCCTCAGACCCACAGCAGGAACCCAGGTCCCTCCTAGTGGGTGGGAGCTTGGGAGCTGGTGAGTCGCTTCTGTCCTGATAAATGTTAGCTCTAGTTATAGTTATTATGAAATCTCCCTCCGATAAATGAGGAACCAGATTCAGAGAGGTTGAGTGACTTTCCTGAGGCCACACAGCTATTAGGGCACAACTGGGACTAGACACATAGCCAGAGCTTGCTCACTCATCAGGGTTATTCTAAAACACCTGAGAAATGGACAATATTGTCAGGGTCACAGATTGGAGGAGGGCCTGGCCCCAGTGCCACCACCAGTTTCTCTGGTGCCCCCTTGATGAGTCATTTATGATACGAACCTTGTGTTCATTTTTTAGGAGATGTGCAAAAACTTCACTCCTCTCGTGGGGTGAGTGTATGTGATGGCTCAGGACACCCACCTCATACCCCAAATCTCCAGCAATTCTTACATCAATTGCCCTGACAGTTTGGGGGCAGAAATTTTAATACTAAAATGAACAGTCCTGTGTTGTGGAGAACGTGCCAAACACACCGCTGGGGTGACCATTGTCCTGATTTGCCTGGGACTGAGAGGGCTCCCAGGATGCGGGACCTTGAGTTGTAAAGCCAAGACAGTCTCGGACAAACCGAGACAATCTGGACACCTCACTAGACCCAGATATCCAGGATCTGGACTTGTACCTTCTCTCCAGGTCCACCCGTATCCTGTGCACGTGACACGAGTCAGAGGACTTTGGTGGAAAATTCTGCAGACACTCACACATAAGTGGAAAATGAGGAGATTTAAGACTGACTCTTGCTGTGTGGGCTCAGACAAAGTTACCCCTCTATCCCTCGCCCCCTCAGCTGTATTCTTAAGATTTTCTGAATGAGATGATGCCCCAGTGTCTCCCCAGGGATGTGTAATAACCCCGACGAGTTGAGAGGCGACACTCAAGGCTCCAGAGTCAGACGGCCTGGGTTCAGATCTTGCCATCACGTGGGACAACCAACCATCCTGGGTTGCCCAAGATGACCAGGGTTCTCAGATGCAGGACTTTTCCATTTTGAAACCAGACAGTCCTATGTAAACTGCCAGGCTGTGAGACTTTTAAGTGCTAAAACCAGGACAGCCCCGGTTATCCGGGACAGGTTGGTCAGCCTCCTCCCCTCAGCAGATCACTGTGTGACCTTGAGCAAGTTGCTTAACTCCTCTGCCTCAATCTCCTTATCTGAAAAAATGAAGATTACAATTGTTTCAGTCCTTAGCTTATAGAGTTGTATCAAATCCATGAATGCCTCTGAACCCCATCACAGTATCTAAGATGCCACACATGAAAGACACTAGAAATGTGGATTGTTATTAATATTAGTTATTAAAAATTAATTAGCAATATCAATCATGAGTGATACATTTTCAGTCAGTAGATCTGTCTGTACCAGGCCAGACTCCAGTTCTTAACTCTCTAAATTCCTGGAAAGATGCAAGTCAAGGGGAAAAAAAAGTCCTACAAGAATTGCAGGGACCTTCAATCCAAACACATGGAATTGTCCACCTGTGATCAAAAATCCGATGAGGAAGAGTCTGAATTAAGTATGAAAATGATGGTTCTGGTGGAAGGAAGGGGAAGCTGCCCTGGCGGTCATGCTGCTCACGACCCTGGCTCATGAGTGTTCTCGCCCCTCCCTGCTGTCATTGGACAGACTGGCCTAATTTCAGAGCCAGGTCATCACAACCCAGGCCTGCCTCTGCCAAGTTATCATTCCTCCCAGGCAGCTCTGTCCACAGTCTTCCTCCCTGTCCATTGTTAGGATCACGTGACTTACGTTAACCGTAAACAGTAGAAACATGTGCCCGTGCTGGGCCCCCTGGTCTGGAGCACCGGAGACCTACAGCTCCAAAGGTGCATCTTTCCCTGTACCTGTTGCCTGTGCATTTCTCTGTGGCTGCAGGAAATGCTGTGCAAAAACCACCGCTCTTGGCTGGCATCAGATGTCAGTTCTTGAAAGGCTCCAGAGCAGAGGGCAGTCAGGAAAAGGGTGTGGTTAGGGACATTGGTGGCCATCCTCAGAACTGCATCCCCAGTTCTCCAGGGACTTGAAGGTCCTGTAGCTTCACCGAGCTTGGTCTCTGAATGCATCGAGCAACTTCTCCTTCTATCACCTCATAATGTGTTGTCTGTAGCTCCGGGCAGAGCTGAGACTTTGGGATGGAAGAAACAGGGCTAAAGGTGTGGAGGAAAGGAAGCCCCGGCCACACTGCACAGGGTCCAGGCTGCCCCAGCTGGTGAGGACCAGCTTTGAGTCACATGGACACGGGTTCAAATCCCTCCTCCGCTTACCAGCTGAGTAGATCATTTGAATTCACAGAACTCATGGTCATCATTGCTAAAACAGGGCAGGTAACACCCACCTGGCAGAATCAACTACAGTGAAGTTAAGAGTTAGGGGTGCTACTTAGGGAGTGTGGGCTCTGGGGCTGGCACATAGGAGGAGTTCAGTGAAGGTTGCGAGTTTATATTCATTTACACTTGCTGGATCACTGTGCTAATTGCTTTATGTGCTTCACACATTTAATTCTCAAAACAGTTCTTTGGGCCGTTTTATTATAGCCCTATCTGCCTTTTACAGATAATGGCCCTGAGGTTTAGTGAGGTCACACAGGGGCCCAAGGTCACATGCCTACAGCCCAGACGTGGCCTCAGGTCTTTCTGGCTCCATGGCCAAGTTCCTACGCTTGTGGCCACTGGCTGCGTGTACAAATCACCGCTCACTGTGACCTGGCAGGCCCGGCCCGCTAGTCACCCTTTCCCTCTCTCACACGCAGTGTGCGGGAGCGCTGTCTGGAGGAGCAGAAGAGGAGGCGGCAGCGCGCCACCAAGAAGATCAGCACATTCGTGGGCACCTTCCTCGTGTGCTTTGCCCCCTACGTGATCACCAGGTGAGCATGGCCGGTGGGACACGAGCTGGGGGCCAGTGGGGTGGGCACGGGGCTCAGGAGAGCAAAGCAGGGTCCGCATGACCTTTAGCCATGGCCGGCCTCTCTTGGCCACGTGTTTTCCAGAGGGTGGATTAAGGGATGAGAGTAAACTTGACAAGTCGAGTGAGAAGGAAGGCACAGGCTTTTTGTCTTCTGCCTTGAATTCTTTTGGATTAGACTCAGGACCGAAAGGTGATGAGACTGCCCCACTTGGTTTCCAAACATCATTCTAACCCTTTAGCCTCAGCCTCCGACCCTTAGGAGGCCCAAAAGGAAAGG